CCACGGTTTTCTGGGATGCGTATGGAATCATCTATATCGACTACTTGGAAAAGGGCCAGACGATCACTGGACAATATTATGCATCATTATTAGATTAGCTGAAAAAAAAAACCAGAGAAAAACGTCCTCACTTGAAGAAAAAAAATGCCTCTTTCTTGAAAACAATGCTCGAGTTCACACGTGTGCAGTTTCGATGGTAAAAATTAACAATTTAAAGTTCGAATTAATTGACCATCCACCATATTCGCCTGATTTGGCTCCCAGTGACTTTTTCTTATTTCATAACCTCAAAAAATGGCTTGCCGGACAAAGATTCACGTCGAATGAAGAAGGCTTCGCCGTAACAAATGCCTATTTTGAGGGTTTTCAGAAATCATATTTTTCTGATGGCTTAAAAAAACTGGAAGGCCGTTTAATAAAATGTATCAACCTTCAAGAAGATTATGTTGAAAAATGAAAAAAAAATTACATACGCAAAACTTTTTTTTCCTTCTTTTTATAAAAACTTATTGACCCCCCCTCGTATGTTGCTATGTTTAGGTATTAAATAAAGATATATATTTAAAATTAAATGCTTTTATTCATAAAATTTAAGGTGATGTACAGTAGCTTACACATTTAATTTATTTAGCTTATTTTTAATTGTATTAAATACATTTTATTTAGAAAGTAAACTATATTAAACTAATTTCTTTACATCACCGCTGATTGGATTATACTGCACAATTCTATCGTGTAGAAATAAACAATAGGCTGCAATATAATCAGGAAAATTTTCTCTCGTGTCAAATTCGAGGCGGACGTCTACAGGAACACTTTTGACAGATTCATTTTGTTTCGAACAATCTATCGCGATTAACGATAACACAGGCCGACAGAATTTGACAAAAATATTTTACCAAGAACCCGAGTAAAGTTTTCCGAAGGTTTTTTGCGCGCTGAATCCGAATCCGAGGTCAGAATTACTCTGGTGGCTCCGGTTTTCGAGATATCCTAACCTTAAAGTGCAAAAAACGCGATTTTTGCCTATATTTGAGGTTATGTAGCAAAGAAAAGAAATTTTTTCTCAAAAAACTGTATACATCAAATTAAAGTATGAGTTTTCTTCTTTCAAATGCCGTTGAGTATGCTCGGATATCTTTTTTTTTCACGAAGTTACACAAATTTGAAAATTTCAAATTTTATGAATTTAAAAAGCACCACATCATTCAGCCCAAGCTATCTAACAAGTAACCATATTAAAGAGCCACTCACCAATTTAAACCAAACTTGGAAATATGACAAAACACTAAAAAATATTGTGAGCATCGTGCTTCTATTTACAAAATGCTCTCTTACGGGTAGAAACCACCCCTGCCAACCCCTAAACAGGCTCACCCACATAACCCTGGGTAGAGCAAGTTTAATTAACTGCTTTTTGATAAAAAAACTCATTTTCTGATCACAGGTATGCGTACTAATATGATCTAGATAGGCCTCATCCCCAAATACCTCCTCAACCCTTTAAAACCAGCACTCCTAACCGCGTACAAAAAATAAGCTGCGTATGTCTATCTGTGATTAATTCCTTCATCGAATTTCACATGATTAAAATAGCTTACCCAGGGTTCTATGATTAGCCTGCCCAAGGGTTTTTAAGGGTTGTACATGTATACAGGGATAAGGCATATCCAGGTTAAGATGTGTATGTCTATTTGTGATTAAAAAATTAATTTTTTCATCAAAAAGGATTTAATTAAACTTGGTGTAACTAGGGTTACGTATATAAGCCTGCAAGGGGTAGATAGGGGTGGCTTTTAACCCTTTTCGGCATACATTTTTCTATTGACTATTCTGGCTTAAAATTTCTTACTCGGGGGTTTTCGGGGTCGCTGAATACGAATCTACAGTCAGAATTTTCATTTTTGAAAATCCAAGATGGCAGATTCAAGATGGTGGATGAAAATCATAGAATTAGCATATTTTTGGTTGGAAATTAGTACTCGGGGGTTTTCGAGGTCGCTGAGTTCGAATATACTACCAAAATTTCGTTTTTTCAAATCCAAGATGGCGAACGCCAGATAGCGAATTCAAAATGGTGTAGGATATTTTTTTGAAATCAATATTTCGCTCGAAAAATAGTAACTTGAAGGGTTTCCAAAACCCCCGAGAATGAGTTTTTTTACCGAAAAGCAGTTGATTAATCTTGCTCTACCCAGGGTCATGTGGGTGTGCCTGCTTAGGGGTTGGCAGGGGTGGTTTCTACCCGTAAGAGAGCATTTTGTAAATAGAAGCACGATGCTCACAATATTTTTTAGTGTTTTGTCATATTTCCAAGTTTGGTTTAAATTGGTGAGTGGCTCTTTAATATGGTTACTTGTTAGATAGCTTGGGCTGAATGGTGTGGTGCTTTTTAAATTCATAAAATTTGAAATTTTCAAATTTGTGTAACTTCGTGAAAAAAAAAGATATCCGAGCATACTCAACGGCATTTGAAAGAAGAAAACTCATACTTTAATTTGATGTATACAGTTTTTTGAAAAAAAATTTCTTTTCTTTGCTACATAACCTCAAATATAGGCAAATATCGCGTTTTTTGCACTTTAAGGTTAGGATATCTCGAAAACCGGAGCCACCAGAGTAATTCTGACCTCGGATTCGGATTCAGCGCGCAAAAAACCTTCGGAAAACTATACTCGGGTTCTTGGTAAAATTTTTTGCCGGCCTGTGTTATGATTCGGCGATCATTCAGAACCATTTTTTCCACTTTTTTCACATTTTCATCGATTGTTGACGTGCTGGCTCGACCGGAGGGTTCGTCATCTTCAACATCTTCGCGGCCATCTTGGAAACGCTTATACCACTCGTAAACACTTGTTTTTTTCATAGCAGCCTCACCATAGGCTTTTTTTAACATTTCACACACTTTGTTATACTTTATTTCATTTTTTACGTAAAATTTAATACAAATTCTTTTAAAAAACGAAAATTGCCGAGCTCATAAAAACACGTCAAACCTTAGCGACTACCGCAGACAAAGTAAACAGTGAATATAGCTGAAAATTTTATCATACTCCAGGGGCATGTATACCAACACAATAAAAAAAAATTTTGACAATCGGACGATCCAGACCCGCGAAATTAAAAAATTCCGGGTATTTTTTGAACACACCTCGTATAATGTAGATGAACATCGTTCAGGTCGTCCTGTAGACGTGAGCATTCTGAAAATTATTAATAACATCCATGACATGGTATTGAGTGACCGAAGAATAAAATAGCGCAAAATAGTTGAGGCCACAGAGGTTTCAAAAAGTATAGTCATTTCGTTTTTGCACGAGAAATTGGACACGAGCAAAATTTCGGTAAGATGGGTGCCTCATTCGAGAATAAACGCAGTCGAGTGGTAGCCGCTGAGGCCTTCTTGGCGCACATCCACCGTAATCTGGACGACTTTCTGCGTCGTCCTACACTCCTAAGACGAAGGAACAGTGGATTATGAAAGGTCAACCAGCTCCAAAGAAGGTGAAGACAGTGAAATCGTCCGGCAAGGTTATTGCCACTGTTTTTTGGGATGCATGTGGAATTATCTTTATCGACTGTTTAGAAAAAGGACAAACAATCACCGAAGAATATTATGCGTTGTTGTTGAACCAGTTAAGCGTAAAAATAAAAGAAAAACGTCCTCATTTGAACAAAAAAATTCTGTTTCATCAAGACAATGCACGAGTGCACACTTGCTTAGTTTCAATAGCTAAAATTAAGGAACTGAAGTTCGAATTAGTAAACCATCCACCGTATTAACAGATTTGACCCCAAGTGACTTTTTTTTATTCCCAAACCTAAGAAAATGGTTTGCCGGACAACGATTCATATTGAACGAGGAGGTCATGAGACAGACAAATGACTATTTTGAGAAACTTTCAAAATTATTTTTCTCTGATAGTATATAAAACTTGAAAGACGCCTGGAAAAGTGTAACGAGCTAAAAAGAGATTATATTGAAAAAAGAAAAAGAATTTTTTTTTAGATTTTTTTTAAATTTTATTTTATCTTTTTCTAAGGACTTATTGACCCGCCCTCGTAGGTATCCTGGACAATAGAATTCTGTCATGATAGCTGACTACTGTTGGTTATTCAAACGTGATGATGTAATAATTGTGCATAAGCGACAGGCGAGTAAGCTTAGATTTCTACCTATATAAAAACCTAACATACTGATTTTTTTAAATAGTAACTTTTCACGCAATTATTTTCAAGAAGAATAAAATTACAACAATCATACGTAATACAAACAGCATATTGTTTAAAAGTTTAAAAATAATAATACTAGTAAAATCACAAAGATACCAAAAACAAAATAAAAAGAAGACTCAGTGATCGATACCTTCTCGTAGTTGGTTCTGAAAACGCACGTTGCTGCTACAAACGTTCGTCATTTGTTTATAGTGTAAGGATTGTGGACTGGACATTGGGTGAGTTTAGGGTTCGTAGATTAAGTGTTGTGTGAAAAATTGTGTTTTTACTGCATTTTCACCCCTCTTATAAGGGTTGTAAATTTTTTTGAACGACAAATTTGGTAAATGGTTTCTTATCATTTTTTTCAGTCTGTATTTTCTGTATTTTACTTATTTTATTTACTTTTTATTTACTGTATTTTCACTTCCGTTGTACGGGTTGTAATTTTTTATAGTAGGCAAAACTTTTTAATGTATTCTTCTTATCGTGAGGGTTGGGAATTGAAAACCAGCAGGTTACCGGGCTCGAGAGTTTAAGAAATTGCGTTGAGAAGGTCGGAGGTTGGAAACCAGCAGGTTACTAGGCTTATACGAGGTGTGGCTATTAAGTAACGAGACTAGCGCTGCTACAGAAAAAGTACGCATGCGCCAAAGGTTAATGACTGTCAGCTGTTTAGCCTGAAGCCTACTCTTTCGAATGCGATGTCTACCGTGTCTGTAGACAAACCAGTGTAGCCGTGGCCTTCGTTTCTATACGAGCTGTTTTTTTGTTTTGCCGGAAAAATGATCGACGTCAAAATAGAGCAACGGATTGTTGTGAAATTTCACATGAAACTTGGAAAAACTGCAACTGAAACTTATAATTTATTGAAACAAGTGTATGGCAATGAATGTTTGTCGCGTCCACGTGTTTTTGAGTGGTTTAAGCGTTTTCAAGATGGCCGAGAAGGTGTTGAAGATGATTCACGTTCGGGTCGCCCTTCCACGTCAAAAACGGATGAAAATATCGAAAAAGTCGGTAATCTTGTTCGATCTGACCGTCGGCTAAGTATTCGTGCGATTGCTGAATCTATAGGAATTGACAAAGAATGTGTACGGCAAATTTTACATGAAAATTTTAACATGAGAAAAGTGTGTGCAAAACTGGTGCCTAAAATCCTCACGTTTGAACAACTAGAAGCTCGCAAAAATATTTGTATTGACACTTTGAATGCGATTGCAAAAGACTCAGACTTATTAGAAAAGGTAATAACGTGTGACGAATCTTGGTTTTTTACCTATGATCCTGAAACAAAGCGCCAATCCATGCACTGGAAGAGTCCAACTTCGCCAAGAGCAAAAAAGCGAAAATGAGCAAATCAAAATTCAAAGCAATGATGATTGTTTTTTTCGATATTCATGGAATTATATACCTTCACTGGGTTCCTGAAGGTGAAACAGTTAACCAACATTATTATCTTCACGTTCTTACTGAACTCCGTGAAAGAATAAGAAAAAAACGACCCAAACTGTGGAAGGAGAAGTCATGGCTTCTTCATCAAGACAATGCGCCAGCTCATTCCGCACTGTCCGTCAAGAAGTTTCTAGCCAAGTACAACATCCCAGTGTTAGACCATCCACCTTATTCGCCGGATCTTGCACCGTGCGACTTCTATCTCTTTCCTAAGGTGAAATCTGCATTAAAAGGAACAAAATTTGAGTCTGTTGAAGCTGTGAAAGAAAAAGCGGCGCGCGTCCTGAAGGAACTAACAGAAAAAGACTTTCTGCACTGTTTCGAACAATGGAAGATTCGCATGGAGCGATGTAGGGATAGAGGAGGGGTATATATTGAAGGTGATAATAAATAAATATACATAATATCAAAATAAAATGTTTTATATTACCAGTCTCGTTATTTAATAGCCACACCTCGTATGTCAAGGAAATTGGGTTGTATGAGTTTCTTGCACCGCTTTATATTAAAGTGTTCATTGTTGAACCGACGTCTGCTCAAATGCCTACAGTATCAGTGGATATAGATTAGATATTTAAAGGTGTCCAGTAATGCTTCGTTATATAAAAAATACTATTTCAATCATGCACACTAGCTTTATATCTGTAGAAAAAATGTCTTATGGGGGGTCCGTAATAGGATTCTGAGGTTATGGTGCAGTTTCGACAATGAGTATCGTTCAGTGATCCAAATGACCATAAAATACGTTACATCGATTTTTCAAATGTCTCACTCTATTTTCAGGCTTTAACGAAATTATTATAACAGTAGACTTCAAATAACGGTATCGTGGACAGAAAAAAAGATTTTCCAAACTTAAAAAAAGGGTTTTGGATGATAAGAGTGCTCCTTTAAGATAGTGTACTTGATTTAAAAAAAAAATTTAGTTAAGATATTATTGTACGTCAAAAACAGCAAAAAAACAGCATTTTTTGCACTTTTAGGTAAGAAAATTAAAAAATCTTCACGTGATAGAGTAAATCGAAAGTCAGATTTTAATTCATTACCCAAAATCTACCGAAAATTCTCATCTAGTGAGTAAGTTTCACGTCGAGCTATGTTATCATTATGAAGAGCGCTCTCTCTCTGAGCGTGGTTCGTTCTCGCGATGCCGGCCGCTGCCAACGTTGGCCAGACGTCTATACTCGCCATTTATAAACGTACCGATGATCGGGAGGCTTTGAAGTATAGGAGGTCGGCATCAGGGTCCAGCGGAACTGTTTCATAAAGTTTACGCCGAGGATACAGTGTCGATTAGTGTAGGTACTATTGTCACTCTAATCAGCCGAGTCAAACGTCCGACTGATATAGGGGCAGTATTACATGCGCGAGCACGGTCAGGTCTCGCCTATCGGTCAGTTCTACTATGCCAGATGGTATCATCCGTACTTTAGCTTGTAGCTCCGCCGCCAACTGCATGTTGTTCTGTCCCATGATGTAGACTGACGATTCCGAGTCAAAAAGCGCGGTGATAGAGAGTTTACCAATTTTTATTGGCACCTACCAATGAGTTTCCTATTCCGGGGAGTATGATTGGACCACTACAGCGGAAGCGTCTTGTCCGGTTAACATCTTTTCGCCTATAATACCCTGTGTCGTAAGACGTGCTCTTCTCCGCGGTCGATTCGCCATTCGCTGGCCCCGCTGGTGCGGATTCCGTGGCTATTGCGCTGTCGGTGGGTTGTAAAGCAGATATCTTCTTGAGCGCCGCGGATCTGGTTATTGTCCCACCGGTTCCGTAGAGCTCCGGGACAAGCGTTGAAGCCTCTTTTCTTGTGAGAGCGGTAGAGACTTGCTCTAACCGCTCTGATTGGCGTTTCCCTGGTTGCATTGGAGGCAGAACATGAGTGTGTACCCAACCAGCCCTCAGTCGTTGCAGGTGACGGGTTGAAGCGTTGCATTTTTACTGTAAAGTTTGATAATTCTAAAGAATTTAGCGAGGGTTTCGTATGCTCGCTCAAGCATTTTGACGATGTTCTCAGCTGATTCTAGATCGTTCGAGCAATCGCTGGTTGACAGGACCACTGCTTCTGGTTTTGCTTGATCTTCGCCGCTCTTGGTTTAGGAACAGCGTCAAATTGGGGATTTTGGCGCTCAATCCTGCGTAGACTTAGGGTATTCAGCGCAAGTATGGTCAATCGTTGCAAATTCTTAATGCTTTGGCCATCGGAACACCGCACTTAGGTTCAGATGTCGGCCAGAAGGTTGCCGTGCATCACGTCGAGCTGTTGCTTGAGAGGCACTCTTTTAATCATGTCCATAAGGCTTGTAATGTACGTCGTCACGTCATCGTCTGGCCCTTGAATACGCGTGTAAATTTCATGCACCAGTCTCTCATGCTGAAAGGTGTTGTTGCCATATTATTCGCGAGTCTCGGTGACAAAATCTCTGTACGGTGCCCAACTTTCGTGGACGGCCTCGTACCAGGTAAGGACCATTCAGTACGTCTTCGACGCCCTTGAACATCTCTTCTTCCGACATTCCCGCGCCTATACAGGCGTTTTCCAGACGATTGAGAAAGAGATCGATTGACTTTTCGCTCGTCCTTTTTCCGGCAAACTTGAGTTTCCAATCTCTCACGATTCTTCCAACGTCTTTTGTTGTCGGGTTGGGACTATAAGAGCCTTGCCAACTGCTCGGTTGGCCTATTACAGTACTCATGATTGATGGACAGTACTGTCCACTTCCCCCCTGGACGAAGAGTGGAATGTTGGGCCTACCCTATGGGCAACATGGGGTTTGCCTGTATTGCTATGATTACCGATGATGTTTCAATCAGGTAGTATGTGAAAGTGTCGCCGAAATTTACTCGACCAGTACTTTACTCGATTTTGTCTAGCATTCTTTCGTAAACCTCTCCCATCTTGGGGTCTACCGCTAGTTTCGTTGTGAAGCAAAGAATTTGTAGACTGTTTGACTGGTAAGTTATAGTTTCGCGCATGTTTTTGAATTCTTGTGTTTCAAACACTGAGTCGCGGAAAGTCAATGCGAAAGATTTGGGAGGTGTGAATGCTTCGTTATTTGAGGTCTGGATTTCTACCAGCTCTTAGGGTCGGTTTTTTCACACTGGTGATGTTTCTATGTTGGTTGGTGCTGTTTGATTGTTCTCTTTGAGTGATATATCTGCCAAATTATCCATGGACGCCTGCATTTTGTCGCGAATTGCTGTGTTGTCTCGCATTTATATTAATGGATGGTCGGTTGTAACTTTTGATTCGTCAAAGTCCCCCCCCCCCCCCCCCCTTAAACAGTGCTTAAATATATCACGCGCACACTCGAGACCTACGCTCCTGCGTCTAGGACTTCTGTTGTGATGAAATTGTTTTCCAAGTACTCTTCCAGTAGCCAGTTGTATAGGTAAGAAGCCTTCTTGTACTTTCCTCCTTCTGAACGCAATTCAAGTGTCTTTAAATGAGAGGCGATATCTGCATCTAATAATGTGTCGATCCAATTTTCGATTGTAATCGCTAAATTCTGTTCTTCATGTCTTCATGTCTTCGTTTGTATGAACGCTTGACAGCGTGTATAGTTCGCTCTTTGCTTGTTTTTATATGGCCTAATCTGAACGTCGTTGGCAAACAATATTTCGCGCGCTTTTGTTTGACCAGAAAGATCGGTAACTTTTGTCGTTATTGTTAACCGAGAACTACGATTTTGGCTAGTTATGAAGAACAAAAAAAATCATTTTCCTTTACAAGTGAAAAAAATTAAATGGTCAATTCCCCGCGTGCCACTGATATATGTGCTCTCTTTTAGCTTTTACGCTTTGTTCTAAGACGCTCACAATATAGATACAAAGAAACACCTGCCTATCAGCTCTATCAACTATTTATTGATAGAGTTAATTATTGTTTTCGCACACACATAGAATTGACTTTGTCAAATTGATGAGTAAGTTTTTCAGTTTAAGAATTTTTAAGAGAAAAAAAAGTATTTATTCGTACACAATTAATTATTTTTCTGTCTCCTAAGTGGGAGAAAAAAATGATAGGAACAAATGTATTTGTTTACTTTATTTTTATTCCATTAACTAATAAGGTTAGTATTTCCTAGCTGGCATGTTAAAGTAAGATTCTCGCAAATATGGCAGTTCTCGCAAATATGGCAGTTCTCGCAAATATGGCAACTCAAAGAGTAGAAGTGGCACGCGTAAATGTAAACACAAGCACGTGTAAACAGTGTGTCAAACGTATTCGCTTTCTCTCTCTCTTTCTCTCTTGCCTACGCGCGCACCGAGCTTTGTTTTCGACTGTAAATGCCAAAGTTGTGTGGTTATGCGTGTTATGGTTCGCTGTGTTTATGCGTTAGGTGCCATGTAACAGACTTATTACTCTTGCCTCGGCCCTAGAGGCCCGATGACGTACCGAGTAAATGCGCGAGAGATTTTTGCTAGGTATCTCGTCTATTCTTAACGACGGTGGCTCGTTATGGCAGTGGGATCACCTGCAACGCAGAAGACAGGCAACCCGCGCCGCTTCTCAGCTGCAGAAAACAGAGTAGTAGTGATCTTATAACGTGATCGCGTGCGTACTTATTAGGTACTTGTGCACGTATTATATGATATTGGGGAGGGAGGTCGAGCAAATGAATTCGAATCTTCTGTTTATTCTCTAAACAAAACGGCATTCGTAGGACTACGCTACAAGTGGTACACTGGATGCTCTGGCCGGGCGCTAATGCTGCGTAATTCGCACAACGAAAGAGAGAAATGACCGATAACTAGACTATCGACAACGCGACGTGCGCTCGCTTGCTTTCATGAATCGCTCGCTAGATTTATTCATCGTATCATACTTTTCTTGCTTTCAGAACCCCGGCATTCGGGCTCGTGAACGGTCCGGTGCACTCGTCGCCTTTCGTG